AAATCTAAAATGCCTGTTTGGCCTGTTAGCCCTAGAATGCTATATTAGGGGTTGCATAGCCTAGTCAACTAACATATCCACTAATGGGCACTGTGGGCAGCAGTAAACTAGTCAAGGACAGTGCCTGTAATACAGAGTGGTAAAAAGTACAGTGAACAGACAGGAGGAGAAAACAGAACTCAGTTTTCCTGCTGAACACAAAGCCCAAAATATTTTCATACAATGGAAATATTACACAAGATGAAACCAATTCCACTGCAGACCGTGTAAGACTGAGCTGAAATTCAGGCTTTTAAACCAGACCGGGTAGGTATGGCTAGGTATGACTGACAGGCGAAACATCCAATCACAGACTGTTCAGCACAACATACACAATAAAAGCAAGCTTCTATTAAATAAATGAAAGTAGCACTCAGCAAAATATGAGGACATCTTGTTTACTTGCTACATAGGATCTCAAACACAACTCAAGAATAACGTTTTGAAATGGGATATCACAAATGTTTCCTGGCTCAGCGACCAAGCTGATACCTCGCTCTAAAAAAAAAGCTTACTGGTGAAAAGATACAACTGCTTGTTGATAACTACAGCTACTACCCTTTAGCTTGATAAACAGTTATTTGTTCCCCATCATACTGATAAACCGGTGCATGGACGTGTGGACAGCCAGAGCCAGGTTAAATTCTTCATTAGAGGGGATATTCTGGGAGCTGTGGTGATTTTAGCATGCAGTTTACATCAGACAGTCTGAGTACTTCTGTGTGCAGAGTGCTTGAGACTCAAACTCCCTGAAATACAACAACTCCTCTGCAATGCACATCCCATATTGAAGAAAATATCATAAAGGTGTTCTTCAGATAGATGGAGAATGTGCTGTAGATGGTTCTGTGTAGAACTTTTTGAAAATGGTTCTATATAGCAAGAGTTCTTTTATTATTACAAGCTTGACATAGTAACAATAGAAAGACCCTTTTCAAAAAGGTTCTATATGGAACCATTTACAACACATTCTCCATCAATCTGAAGAAACATTAAATGATGCAAAGGGTTCTTTGAGTGTTCATGGTTCTATACAGCCATTTTCTTTACTGAAGAACCCTTGCAGAACCATCTTTTTTAAGAGTGTAGGTGTAATATTTCCCCATACATTTAAAATAAATGCATTTTAAAATATATATGGCTAATATGACAACATATTCTGAAATTAGTGTGTGGAATGTATTTCAGCATGGACTGCAATGTATTTGAAATGTATTTCAAATATACAAATATACATGTCCATATATTTTTTCCATATGGGATCTTACACCTTAAACTGCAGCATCTGCTGCCCTAGTCCCTATTAGCAAACTACTGATAAAGCATTGTTCTTAGATGTCCAGAACACTGACCTTTTAGCCCAACCTGTGCAAAATCTGCCATCAGCCAATTTGGCTGTACAGAAACAAAAATTATGATGGGTGCATTCATAGTGGAGAGTGTTACCAGCACCCGGCAGAAATCTCTGGCAACAAGAGGCTCAGTCATGGCTGCGGATACACAATCATCATCATCTGATCAGAATCAATATAGCCTGGCTAATCTGCAGGCCAACAATAAAGGCTACTCTCAGCGGAGGACTCCTCAACTGGGATATTAGCTACAGCATCAAAAAAAGTTCTGGCCAGCCTCCCAAGAGAATGATGAACACTTAATTAACTGAATTAAGTGAATTCAGGCTTAGCTTTAGCCTGCTGGGGTCTGAGTGAGTGTGTTTTCCTCAATAAAGACACCAGTTCACTCAAACACAGAGAAAGCCAAGAACCTAAGATATTGCAGTGAGCCCCAGCTCATCTCAACTTTGCAAAAAAAGTGCTACAGATATAATTAGAAGTAAAGTAAATAAGTAGGGGGAGTAGAGCACAACTTAATGAAGGCTAAAACATGACAAAGTGGCATTTTATGTAGTTAAGCAAGTTCACGTAGATTTCGTATTCCAGTAAAATCACAGCTTGTCAATTTTGATAACAATCGGTAGATATTTTTCCAGATTCTCCCTGTTTTTTCATTTTTTTCATCAAAAGTGTTTTTAATTACTGAGGTGTATTTATAAATCACATAATTCACTTCTATATAAATTCAATTTTACATTTAAACTCAATCTTATTACATACTAAGGCTTATTATTCAGTAACTACACAGACTTTAGTGCAAACTGGTTGAGCTGTTCTTAGGTTATAGAAGTGTGTAATAAAAGTTTGGGCGCATTGGCAGGCCCTGACCATTTAAGGGTTTAATCTTCTTCTTGGGGGCTGTAATATAGTAACTCCCAGCGAGAGCGAGCCAGGCTAAAGTACAGCCTCCACACGGAGGGGTTAGTTAAAACGTAAGCAATATATACCTTAACATATGAATTTGAATGCCCATCAATATTAGCATGTTAATATTTGCTATTCTACTCCACATATTTGCGACATTCCACTCAGCATCTTTTCACTAATCATACTTATTTTGATGAACATATTTTATGTATTAAGTTTGGGAAGCTTGTCTTGTTCAAGCAACATTGAAATGTACTGAATTAGTTATGTTTGCACTTTTTTTTTAGCGACTGTTCCAATCAGCCCCTCAGTCAGTTATAATTAACCCACCTCTGGGGTAAGTTTCTACATCTCCACTCACTCCACCTTCAGCTGAACTGGTAATAAACGGTAAGTGCTGGAAACACAGCTTATGTTTTCATGTGCAGCAGGGATGTTTAGGTTGCTTAAATAAAAATAATCTGGCTAAAATACTTATTAAATTACAAAAGTGTGTTAGCTTATATTGAATCAAAGCGCTTTATGCAGATAAGACAAAAATAATAAATAAAAGGACAGAACAGGCAAAACAAAAGGAGAACTGCTCAAGTCAGTGAGAAAGCTGTTGTAGTTTACTTGTGGTCTACTAGGAATTTCACAAAGCTGTAAAATGTGTGTTTGTTTTTGAACGTTTTAAGAACACAAGTGTCTCAACTTTGCAAGAAAACCAGAGGAAAATGGCTTAAATGCTTCTGATTTAAATTTCTTTTTCCAAAAGCTCAATGTTTCAAAACTGCAAAAGCACTTTTGGTTCCTGAGGTTAAGATTATATGTAGATACTGTATATAATGCATATATAACATATTGTTATTACTTAGTTATTTACTTTGACCTATACTTACATTTCTATAATATACAATACAAATAGAACATATCATTCTTACATATAGTTTTTTACATTGACCTATACTTACAAATATATAATACATACAGGACATATTATTCTTACATTTACTTACTTACACTAACCTATACTTACATATATATATTAACGGGACATATTATTATTACTTATAGATACACATATAAAATATTTAGGGGACATATTATTGTTACATACAGTTGTGTGCAAATATTTGGTCAATTGACATGTTTTTGTTGATGTTGTAAGCGTAAATAAGTTATCACGTCCTCTACAGAGAACACACTTCTGCACATTTAAATGCACAAATACTATTTATCTGCTGAATTTAATATATTGAGGGAAAAACAAACAAACTTTTGGCCTGTAAAAAAGTAATGGCACAATTTAAAATGTATGTGTTTTTAATCAGCATATAAATAGAAATTGTGCACAAAAATATGCAGAAAATGACATATTTCAATGCGTTCCCTGTAGAGGAACTTCTTTTCACTTAGAAACCCTTAAAGAAAAGTCGTATGAATTTCACATGTGAATAAACGCATTAACTTCCCATATTAAAAACACGTTCATTTGTGAAAAAACACGTGATTGAAATACATGAGACTTTTCTGTAAGGAATCAACAAAACATGTCATTTGACCAGGGCGTTCAAACCTTTACATAGCACTGTGCAGATGCTACAATAAATATGGGAATTATTATTATTATTATCATTGTTGTTGTTATATAGGTACTTACACACTCTCAAAAAACATGGTTCTTTGAGGGGTTCTTTAGTCAAGACAATGGTTCTATATTAGAACCATTAACAATTCAAGAACCTTTTGCATAATTAAAGAGTTCTTTGTATCCTGAAAGGTTCTTCAGATTGACAGAGAATGTGCTATAGATAGTTCTATACAGCACCAAAACAGTTCTTCTAATGTGATGATGTCAAGCTTGTAACAAGAGCAGAACCCTTATGGTGCTATATAGAACCTTTAAAGGGTTCTTTGAGTGTTCATGGTTCCATATAGACCCCTTTTCTTTACTAAAGAACCCTTGAAAAACCTTTTTTAAGAGAGTTCTATACTGAGCCAGTTCTTGCTTAAAAGGTTCTTTACATGGTGAAATTGTTCTTCAAATTGGAAAAACAATGGAGAATGTGTTGGGTATGGTTCTATACAGAACCTTTTTAAAAATGGTTCTATATCGCACCAGAAAGGGTTCTTCTGTTGTTCCAAGCTTGACATGACATGACAACAGCTAACAGCAGAGCCCTTTTTGGTGCTAGGTAGAACCATTTGTAAAAAGTTTCTATATAGAACTATATACAATATATACTATACACTATTCAATCCGAAGAACAATTTCACCATGCAGAGAACCCTTTAAGCGAGAAATTGTTCTATGGTTCTGCCTCTACTAAAGAAGCTTTACATAAATAATACATATGAAGATCCTGTTACGTATACTTACCCGCATACATACAACACGTGTTAGTGTGACGTCACGTCCGACGCTGGACAAAAACAAGCGCGTGTAAGCCTGAAGTGTGGATCGTCCAATAGGAATGTCCCTCATAAATAGAGATTATGTTTTTGTGAAATACTCACAGTAGCCTCTGCCTTGTCCTCTAAAGGCCAGTTACGGCTACAGACACAATTACACTGAAGGCCTTCTGATCTAGACTCAGCCGAACAGCAGGACCCCCGCTGACCCAGGTCAGAGCAGGGAAGTACCAGCCAAATACGCAAAATAAAAAAAGCAAACATGAGACCAGTGTTGAGGGACAGGCTAATAGCCTCGGTTCTCACCTGTGCTCTCACGGCGCGCGCGTTTCCTAACCTGGACCCTCCAGCGCTCCATTGCTTCAGCTGCAACTGATCCAGCGTCCTTCCGAGGAGAGCAGCGTGGACACCAGGCTGGACTCTGAGCTGTTCCTGCTCTCCTTATTCACAGAAAATGTGCCTGCAACCCCCTCAACCCCCCACCTCACTGCGGGGACATTGGATACGCCTTTAGTGCAACTCTGCTCAGCTCAGCCGCAATAAATACCAGTGCATGTCATCGCCAAAAAGCAAAATAAAGCCACACCTTGCACTAATCTGACCCACCTTAGCCAGAATACGAGGCTTAAGTCGGCTTCCTATTCGCCAGCTTTTTGTTCCAATTTTCAGTTCCACGCCGTAAATTCCCGTTCCACCTTAAATGCATAACATTAAAGGCTTGCAATTTGCCAGCTTCTTGATCGAATTTTCCCGTTTCACCTTAAATGCACCACCTTAAATTCCCGTTCCACCTTAAGGCCGCTTATTAGAATTTCCTCGTTCTACTTTAAATGCACCACCTTAAATTCCCGTTCCACCTTTAAGCTTCTTATTCGCCAGCTTCTTTTCCAAATTTTCCCATGCCACCTTAAACGGTGCGACAGTTGCAAGCTGGCGCCAGAATGTCACCGCTGCACCATTTAAGGTGGAACGGGAAAATTCAAACAAGACGCTGGAGAATAAGACGCTGACAGTCAAGAATCCTCTGCCTACTATTTTAACTCTATCATATGCGGTTCATGACAGTCCTTGCAGCCAAATGCATACAAAGAAGCATTATTTTATTGTATTTTTATTATTATTTATTTTATCTCGTGCATGGTTGTAGCTCCATGCGCGCCGTCACTCAGTGCACGCTGCTGCCGTGCCACTACCGCAAAAACAAAATGCACCCCAACACAGATCCCCCCATTCCACGTTTTACGGCTCAGCTTTGACTCACCATGTGCTCGCAGTGAACGGGGCTCTGCCCCGCCGCCACCAGGGGGCGCCACCGCAGACTGTGCCATCGATGATCCGTTCATTTTGCAGGGAAAACAAAACGTCCAGCTATTTTTGGAGAGGCTCACGGTGGGTCTGTGCTGTGGATATTGCGTGTCAGATGTTATGCAAGCACACCCACATGGCTCTGATTGCTGTGAGGGCTGGGCTCTAAACTGAGTTTAGGCCCCCCCTGGTGGAGAGCAGTACACTCTTACAGGATCAGTTTAGCTAAGAATCTGCATTTTCACCAAAAATGCTGCTTAAGAGGATTTTTTTATTTCAAAAATATCTGCATAATTAAATTCAGTCACAGTTCAGAGTGGTTTGGTGTGTAATGGTTCAGATATCTTTACAGTGGTGGTGATAGGAACCAGGGGTCATCATGGCTACAACACAAATATAGCCATTTTATTTACTATCCAAAACCACCAGTGAATCTACACGTGTTATCTGAACGTTATATGTGATGTTGTTGATGGCAAAAATATATATATATATATATATATATATATATATATATATATATATATATATATATATATATATATACTGCCTTAAAACTGCCTGCATGTATCAGAATGTGTTTAAGGCCAGAATCCTTTCTCAAAACTATTGTAAAACAATGTCTCGGGTATCAGGCAGCTTTTAGAGGTGGATGTCTGGTTCCTGTCAACACCGCTGCGAACAATCCTGACTGTTTCCAGCGCCCTGTATTCCCAGGGTATTCCCAAAACATTACCAAAGTTAGCTTTTATGCTAATAATGAAATCTTTGTGTACATCCTCTATCAGAACATCTACCCTCCGTTTCAATGCTCTTATTAGCATGTCCTTATCGACTTCAAGTCTCAAATTACAGAAATTCAAAAAGTTGGCTTCCTATTCACCAGCTTATTCAAATTTCCCGTTCCACTTTAAATAATGCAGCAGTTACATTCTGCTGCTACATCATGGTGATAATTCACTTTTTCTAGCTGTATAGTAATCAATCTATGCATAAAGCAGTTATGCGTTTCTCATCTTATTTGCAAAAACATTAAACAGATACACCAACACGACACATCAGTTGTGCATTTAAACATCTTTATTACATTTCATTCTGAGCCGCCTACAGCTTTTTTCATTCTTACATACCAGGAACATCACATGCACAGTAGCGGTGAGAACGTCCCTCAGGGATATTCTTAGAAGAAGGGGGTCTGTTCCTTCCTGCTGACCTGAGAATAATCTAGCTTTGTAATATATGGTGCTATTAAACATAAGGGATATTATAATAGAGCCAGGAAACTCAAGCAATTTCTAAATGTGAGGATTCCACTGAGACAGAGGAAGATTAAAGGGAAACTCCACCAATTTTTAAGAAATTAAAAAGTTAAACGGGTGAGATGTAAACAGAGTCATTCAGAGTGATTTGGTATGAAATGCTGCATTCTAGAGAAACTTACTGAGTCAGAATTGTTCACAGTGGTGGTGACAGGAACCAGATGTCCACCTTTAAAAGCTCCCTCACAGAAAGTTATTACATGAATGGTTACATATACGCTGCCTGATATCTGACACATTGTTTTATGATAGTTTGATAAAGGTTTGGTTTAAAATGTATTTTAGCCCATTTATTTGAATCCATTACTGGCGGAAAGGTACATGCAGGGTGTTCTAAGGCAAAATAGTCTCCAAAGAAAACTTAATCAGATTTATCACTATTTTACAATCGTCAAACATTCCATACAAAACTCAGAAGACGCGTGTAGGCTCACTGGTGGTTTTGGATAGTAAATAAAACGTCTTTATTTGTGTTGTAGTCATGGCAACCCCTGGTTCCTATCACCACCACTGTAAAGAAATCTCTGCAATCAATTATTTCACACCAAACCACTCTGAATGCCTCTGTTTACATCTCAAAGAATCAAATATAATATAGACCAGCAGAATTAAAAAAAAAGTGCAACTGCAACAGAAGGTGTGTAAAAAGGCCTTATCTAAGATGTAGCACAGAAGGTCAGAAAGGTCATCTTGCATAACTGGGCAGAAGGAGAACACATTACTCAGCGTACACTCCTTACACTGCTGTAAGAGAACTTATTCAGCAAAACCACATATTAGTAAATCTCACCACACAGTGATTCCATTTGATTGCAATCCAGTGTGTCACGAAATCCTACATATCACCATGATTCAGTTGAATTTTATTATTTATTTTTTGTATGATTCTGAATATTGTTCAAAAATACATAAAATGTACAAAAGTGACTGAAGGAACTATTTACACAGCAGTGGAATACAGACCATAAACACAATTAAGGCAAAAACTCAAAAAAAAAAGAAAAAAGTGTGCCTTACTTCAAAAACACTATATGGCTAAAATTATGTGGACACCTCTGATTGAGTTCAGGTGTTACAGCCACACTCATTGCTAACAGGTGTATAAAATCAGGCACATAGCCCTGCAGTCTCCATAGACAAACACTGGCAGTAGAACGGGTTGTACTGAAGAGCTCAGGGACGTTAAACGTGGCACTGTCATAGGATGCCACTTCTGCCACAAGTCAGTTTGTGAAATTTCTGCCCTGCTAGATCTGCCCCGGCCAGTAAGTGCTATTTTTGTAAAATGAAAATATCTAGGAGACTTCACAAATGCTTTTTTGACTGAATGGGCACAAATTCACACTCACAGATGCACTCCAAAATCTTTAAAGTATTCCCAGTAGAGGGCAAGCTGTTATGACCACAAAGATCAGATTAACTTCACATTAATGCCCATGGTATAAAATTGAGGTGTCCACATACTTTTACCATACAGTGTTATATGCAAAACAAAGGCCGATACTGTGATTACATATCCTGCAGCCAAAACCTTTACCTTCAAGTAGTGTTATGTAAAGTTATATAAAGGTTAACACTTAAAATATAAACATTTCAAGAATCCACACCTGAATCCAACTCTTTCCCTCATCACAGTGACACAGCAACCTGCGCAGGTTCTTTCCACTAAAAGAAAACAAAGGAAATGGGCTGTGTCCAGAACTTCCTTGCTTTCTTTCCTATTCAACTTGATACAGGGTCATCACAGTTAACCTCAAAAGGAGGTTTACTAGGAGGCAATGGTGAGCAAATCAGAGCTTTGGGACATTAATAACTGTGAGTAGCTGTGAGTAATGTGTTCTTTCGTACAAGGAAAGGGAACTTGCTGTATAAGACAGCCGGCATGTGACCGTCATGTGACCATCAGCCAAAAATGTCACACTCTCTTGCAAAGAAAGCAGAATTATCCTCCATATGGCCACTCTGAAATTAGCTTTTTCTGTCTCAGCAACTTGGACAGTGCTTCCCAAAACTGACCATCTTCTTTGGTAAAGATTCATCATGTCTCATTTAAAGAGCCCAGATCATCAAAATCTAAATGTTCCTTACCTTTTTGTCACTAACATCAAACTCTGTTATTAATGTAAACACTGGTAAAGTTTCAAAACACTCCCGAGTTCATGGAGTTCATATGGAAACTCATTGCTTTTGTGATGTCACAAAAACCAGCAGATTTATGTACACCCACCCATTCAGCCTCCTACAGTTCAGCCTTATTTACTCCTTAGCTACATGGAGTGTTTCAGCCTGGACTGTTTTTTAATTGAAGCGTGATACAAGACAATCCAAGACAAGCCAATCAGAACAGAGCTAATTTACATATCAGTCTTAAAGGCATGGTAACAAAAACAGATTTGATTCTGCAGAGCCCCACTGGTGACATCTTGTATAAATAAAAATAATGCGTGGCCACGACTTAGTAAGGCGTGGGAATGAGATGATTAAGTCGTGGCCATGACTTAGTAAAGCGTGGCAACGAGATCCTAATGCATGGCCATGACTTAGTAAGCTGTGATCTTGTTCCCACGCCTTACTAAGTCAAGGCCACGACTTAATCATCTCATTCCACGCATTATTTTTATTTATACAGGATGTCATCCTCAGGGCTCTGTATGATTCTGAGGAAAAAAGAGATGTTAGAAAAAGGTAGTGTAAAAATGACTGATTTTGTAACTGCTTTTTTTGTTTCAAATTCATACATAGAGATTCATACATTTGAACATATTTGTCCCGAAAGCCTGTAGATATAAATGTTTGTGAAAAACAACGACGTCCTGTATAAAAGTAAATTAATATGTTCAACTAAAACACGCTCAGGTTTATAAGACATTCTTTAAGAACACAGTATAAGACATTCTTTAAGAACACAGCAGCACTCAG